CAACAACGGGCCCCAAGGAACCCGAAAAGGGAAATGAAGGCCATGAGCCAAGTACATTAGCTGTGAAATGAAAAAAGAAAGCTGAGTGGAGGAAAAAAATTAAATGAGGGGATACACAGGGATATGCATTTGGGAGAATGAAAGGGTGGGGTCAGTCTTTGTGTTGGGCCCCAGGAAGTTAAAGGGGAAACTTTAAAGCAAGGAAAAAAGGGGAAAAAAAAGCAATTTAAAAAGCTCATAAAAGAAATACGAGAGCGATTGACCCACTGGAAATTTTCAGAAAAAGGGGGGTTTGTAAAAAAAAAAAACCCCCGACCAGTGAAAGTGACCTTAAAGGCAAAAGCGACTCGGAAAGGATCTGCGGGGAGAAAGCACGATTAAGGGGGACATCCCGCATACGGAAGTGTACTCGCCCATGCCAAAAACACAAAAGATAGGCAAAAAATGGAGAGTGGTAAAAAGGCAAAAGGGAGGAAAGAGGGGAGGAAAAGAAGACGGGGAGCCCCGGGCCCAGGAAAGAAGTCAAATACAGCCTCCCTCAAAACTTCTATAGAAGCCTCCCAACCAGATCAACCCCGGGAACCCAAACATTTAAAATCAAAAACCCATGTCAACCCAATCCCCCCACCACTTTTACAAACCCCACCCCACGCAAAAACCCCAAGCCCTTACCAGGTCCCCCACCCCCCCCAACCCCAATTCCCTCCAGAAACAGTTTAGAAAAAAAAGTTGAGGTGTGGTATACAAATGCGAGGAATAACAAAAAAGTTGAGGAGTGGCCGAAGAACAAGGAGACATCCCCGACTATAGCACCCCCGCAAAATACAGAAAAAATAAAGATTCAATTTTTCCATCCGGATATCAAATCCCGGAAAGAAGGGGAGGAGGGGGGGGGGATTGCACTGCTCATTAAAAACCAATGGGGTTTTGAGAAAATGGAAAAGGAAAGGATGGCACGGGCGAAAGGGGTCTTAGTAGGAACAATCCAGTCTGAGGGACTAAGGTGATAATTGAGTAATGCACAACCCCCACGAACTGGGAGGCCCAAAAGAAAAAAAACGTGAGGCAAAGAGCAATGATCGACCACTAGCGAGGTGGGCCCGGAGGCACAATGGGGGGAGCAAGTTACAGTTATGGGTGATTTCAAAACAAAGGGATTTACTGGGAAAAACCTGGAGCCCCATGGGGTTCCGAAACATGGAGAGCCAAGATGATGGATGTTGGATTGTACTGGAAAACCTCATGATCAAACATGTTAGAGGACACTACCAGAGAGAGAGGGAGGGATAGATAACCAGCAAGACTGGGCCTTGTATTCACCTTGAGTAGTTGCGACATCGAGGGTATCATGTATGAAAGGCCCCTGGGAGCTAGTGATCATGTGGTTCTGATGCTTCGACTACATAGTGGAGCTTCCAAGACGGAGAGGGACCCTCTGTGTGTGGCAGCCCTGGAAATGGCTGGGAAAAACCAAACTACAAAAGGGGGGAACTACTCAGGCATGATGAGGAACTTCTTCAAGACATTACAGTGGGAGAGGGAACTGACAGGGAAAACCAGTACAAGACAAATGAGTGGAAGTATGTAGGCAACAAAATCAAGGAGGGCAGAGGAGAGGTTTGTTCCCAAGGGAAAACAGAAAACTATGGGAAGAACAGAACGAGTCTTGGTTCACCAAAGGTGTAGGGAGGCGAAAACTAGGTTGTATAGAGAATGGAAAAGGTTCTAGAACGACAGAGAATCAGGAAAATAAAGGAAATTGCCGAAGAGCCCAGAAACGAATATGCACACG